AATATGCTTGCTAAAGTGCTCTTGTAGGCAGTAGAAAATTTATAGAAACTAGAAATGTGTCCACCGTTTTCTCCTGTGATTACTTTTATGTTAATATAAGCCCTTTTTGTTGAAATCTAATTATAACATTGTATTTCTGGATCATCATAATGACTGATAGGCAAATTTTATGAATAATTTTAATTTAATAGCTATGTCTGATTGTAAAGCCTGCCTCAGTGACTTAAATTCCTCCCCTTAAAACCACAGAAACTAAAGATGTGAGTGCAATACTTGGAACGTGTTGTTTGCAATGAAGTGACAGGGGTGTGATTTGCTATGTTACAATAAAACATGCATTGATTTTTAATTTAAAGAAACTAAAATAGCTCTGCAGAAACATTCCAGTGTGAACAATGTCACAAAACAGTAAGAGATATTTTCTTGCATTTGTGTATTAGATACTGCTTTTACTTTTAAGACTCCATTAAGATCAATCTTTCAGGATATTATATAACTCAGACCAATTCTGAAACTTTACAGTTACTAAAGGCATGTGAATGTTCTTTCTACATTACTTACAAAATAATATAATATTTTCAACCAACAATATACTTCGTGATATTTGACTAAAGATTTTGAAAGACTTTTTGCATTTAGTCTCTATTCCCACAGCATTTATTATATTTCCTAAAATATAATGCTTTGAAAAGTGACTATATATAAACTGTTAGAGAAACACAATACATTTATGTAATAAGTTAAATTTGAAGATAAATTCCTTTGCTATTAGTATAACAACTCCCAAAATACAGTATATTTTGTTGACATTAATATCTGATTTTTAAGAAAAATATATGTGAGTCTTAGTTTTTCTATGTTGACAGATGCCTCTCAATAAATATATAAATATACAATATTTTAAATGTCTAAATATGTATCAAAATGGAAAAGTTATTAGGATGCATTTTGAGATAATACTGAGTTATCTTTATTGAACTATCTCTCAAACTATTCATATTGCTTCATATAAAGTAGGTACATGTATACAAAGCTATATTTACACAATAAAGTACTATAAATTTTCTTTTAATTGACTATCAGTTGTTTCTTAACCCAAATACTCATAAACATATGTGCATATGTATCTTTATCACAGATTTTGTTTACTATCTTAGTTACATTTTCCTCAGTCCTGGGACAAAATACCTGAAACCCAAAATGAAGGAAGGAAAGGTTTATTTTTCTCACTCTTCGGGGCGTAATCTTCCAGTCCATGATCAGCTGACTGCAAGCAGGGTGGCATGGCACTGGGTCAGCACTTGGAGATGGCAGCCAGCAAAGGCAGCCAGGGCAAAGTGGTGGGGGAACAAATCTATTCTCCTCCCTTACACTGTAAGCAGGCTACCCATGACCCAGGGCAGATGTAGCACTCAAAACTCTTGCCCTTCTCTTGCACAGGGCGAGGATGTTTACAAAGTAAGGCCCCTGGCTCCCTGCTGAGTGGCTTAGCAAAACTTTTAAATTTCTCAAATTGTTACATGTATCCATCATAGCACTAACTCAGTAGCATGCATTGACTGTTAAACTATTTATTCCTTCAGTAAGCACTACAATGTGATATACGATGCATAAAAATCAAACATAGTATCAGCTGAAGAGAAAAGCCTTGAAAAGAAGCAGAAAGTCCTATTAATGTGCATGCATTTAAAAATATTTTAAAGATCCTTTTCAAATTACTTTAAGGCTATATCCCAATAAAAAGATCAGAAAATAGAAAATACTCTGTGTAAAAAAATTCATTTAAATCATGTAACCTATTGAACTTCTTTGTTTAGCAACAGAGAACATAATACCTTATTGTTTATCCTCATGATCAGATGACTTGGAGATATGATTTCCTCATAGAATATTCTATCATAAGCCACCAGCACAGGAAAGACAATAATTCAAAGTAGTTCCCACTGAGTGTGCAGTTTTTTGCACCATCAAAATACAAAAATTTGTAAATTAAGCTATAGTAAATTATAGATCATTTGTACTTCAAAGTATTTGGTATGACTTCAAATAATCGTGTATCTATATCCCGGGTAGTTTTTAGTGAAGCGGCATCAATTTCACTAGCATACTTTCTTATCTCTTTTACCAAATTGTTTATTTATGAACTATAACATAGAAAACATCAGGTTAATTTTTAATTTCCATCTTATCAGGAACCCAGCCAAGAGTCCCAACTGTCAATATCAGGAGCCCGGCCAAGAGTGCCAATTGTCAATATCGGGAATGCAGTGAGAAAAATAAAAAATAGAGACAACTGTCCTATCCCAGCCATGGAAGGGAAGTCACTGTCTCTGGGCCCGCCCTCTCCCATTCCCGAAGCAGCCACTGTTTATGAGCTGTATGGGGTGAATAGGTGGGGCTACTAAAGTATCATGGTTCATGGAAGATTGGAACTCCAGAGGGCGTAGATAATCTTATGTTTCCAAGTAGCTTGACCTGTGAGGATTTAAGAAAGCATGGATGATCTAATGCTTAGAAATAGTCTGTGTTTTGTGTAATCCTGAGTTGATTTAAGAAGAAGAGTCCATGGTAAATCTCAGATGGGTGGTACCAATAATCCTAATCTCCTTTTAGCCCATAGAGGACTATGTAAAATTAGCGACTGAATTTGTAGTCCCCAGCACATCTTAATTTTCCTTTCCAGACTCTGCTAACTGCTTTTCAGTTTGACCCATTGCCATTCTCAAGAGATTCTCTCTCCCTCCCTCTTTCTCCCCTCCTCTTCTCTGCTTATTTTAAACTTTCTTTTTGATAACCTGTATTAAGTTTTCAAACAACAGAAATTTATTCTTTGACAGTTCTGGATATTAGAAGTACAAAATCAGGCTACGATCAAGGGCCCAGGGGAGGATCCTTCCTTAGCTCTTCCAGACTTTGGTGGTGTCAGAACTTCATTCAGTCATCTAATTTGTACCTCTGTCGCCCATGGTGTTCTCCCTGCATGACTATTTACTATGTCTATGTTTCCTGTTACCACATCACTCTTTGGATTAGAGCCAACTGTTATCCAGGATGACCTCATTTTAAAATAATTACACATGCACAGGCCCTCTTTTCAAATGAGAATATAGTCTGGTATTTTAAATAGTATTCAACCAAGGGCCCATCTATATTTTTTTCTCTGACATGGATAGGATGCATTTTTTATTCATGGTTTTATTTTAAAAACAAAAAAGGAGTAAAATGACAATAGAGAATTTCAAACAAAATAATGGGAACTTAATGTATGTTTTTTATTGCAGTAGTTATATATGTGATTCTAGTTATATTACTTTATAATATATGACATTATATATATATGATATTTATATATGGTATTTGACATTGCCTAATAAGTCTGGATTATTATCAAGTGAACGGAAACTGCTTCTTATATAATAAAATGAACATGAATTAGTAAAAAAGCCCATTTGCTATTAGGATTGAAAATTTAAGAAAACTGTCATATGCAGAAAAGAAAAATACATCTAATAATAAAATAAGAATAAATGTAGACTAAATTTTCCCTTATATGTTTTGGGCAAGAACTATTTAAAATTTTAAGCGAACATAGTAAGAAATTAACTTACAAATCATTTGTCCTTCCTGTAAATAAATACCCTGCATATCTCATGCTTATTTATGTTAAATATGAGAACATAAATAATGAGTCATAAGTTAAGACATGCTAGAGACTCACTTGCGTGTGTCCCATTTGTTGTGGAAGGACGCGTTCGCACTGGAGGGGTGAAGATGGAGGAAAGCTTAAGAAAAAAAGAGAATAAAAGAAAAAAATGGAAGCAAAGCTTCATAAATAAGGCAGGGAAGAAGAGTTGGAGCGTGAAGCTAGAGAATGAGAAGGAAAAAAAGAAGCAGCAATATATATCATGTACAGTTACAAATTCCATGATGAATATTATCATCATATATACCTAAAAAGTACCAATAAAATTTTTAAAAAAGAATAGGGAAGAAGCTCACAAATTAAACATGAAGCCAGGGGAGAAAAAAAATAAAGGGCAACACTGAGAAAAATGTCTGAGGTTCTTGTTGTAATTATTCTACATATTTTATATCGGAATCTTGCATAGTGGTGGGAGGCAAGCAAAAATGTGAAATAATCTCCAAACTAAGAAAATGAGACTAGTTGAAAACGATGCTACTTTTGCTCACCGTAAAGCATTTGCAGGGGGCAAGACTTTCGGGCAGCAATTGATTTCTAACAGCCACTGCAAATTTCAGTAACACTAACACAAAGCAAAATATTCTTTCTTTTTTTTCTTTAGTTGAAAAAATATATCAACTAAACGTATCCATGGTATATCTAACTTAGAAGCTTATAAAAAGCAAAAAAATCCATTTCCTTAGTTTTGAATTACATAAAGGCTTCATGTTAGGTAAAAGACAAAAAAGTTGCTACAAAAATACCTACATAAATACATCTACATTTATTGTCAATATGCTTTTAAATTTAGGTGATCGATTAAAGGACTAAATTACATAGAGTCTGTTATTTTGAGTTCCAGACAGCTTAAACAATGTATAATTAACATTAAGATACAGTGAATGTTTTTATTAATGACTCAGACTTTGGGGATGTCATAGAATTGATAGTTTCTGACTTTCATTTTGGTGGCCTGTTGTGTACATCTACTCACAATGTAGAACACTACTTACGTTAGTTCAGATAAATGAAACCTTCATCATCATGATATTACTTTTCCCATTGACACAGGGATTCATATACTTACTGGTATTATTTCCATCTCATTTAAATGAACTATCCCCTAAAAGTAATCATTCTTCCATTAAGATTAAGTCATTTGTATTTGGGGAATATCAATGACTGTTTGTTGAGGGACTTATCAATACAGGGAATTTTCATGTAGAAATTAAAATCGATAGGGGATTCATGATTCAATTGGCCATTTTTTACCACTTGGCTTTTCTATTTGTTAACTAAAAATATTTTATTTTTCAAGCATTCCCGACTTTGCTTTCCTTTGCTATCCTCACCCTACACACCATCACAACTAGACTTCAGTCTGTTGATCAGCTGCCACCAGGTGAGCAATTTCTTCATCTGCTAGCTTGCTTCTCTGTGGTCCGAATTTTACTGTTCGATAATGGCATTCGCGAGACTATCCATTTGCCATGTCATGCACAAATGTGGCCTTGATTTCTTAAAGGAAAAATGATAACTAATATTCTCTGTTACTTCCATGGTGCTATTGGTATTTCAGGAATAGTTGTGTAGTGGTAAATGTTGCAGAGAAACTAAATATTGACTTAAATCAGAATTTTCATACTGATTATTCTTAAATGACATTAAGTGAACTGATACTTTGGTAGTTCATATAAAGAAATTCTATTACTCTAACAACTGCACTTTAGAAACAGTATAAAAATGCAGGGAGAAATTGAGGGAACACATTGCGGGCTGGTACAGGAGAGAGGAGCTTGATTATTTTCATTTGCTGCGAGTTGTGTAGAGCAAACTGCTTCACTATAAAGAGATAAAGAAAAATGTGTTTTGCCTGAGAAACTGGATTCCCAAGTTCTCCTTTTCTTTTAGACACTTAATTACGTGCTATATTAGATTGGTTTTATTTTATGGAAATATCGTAAAGGCTACTTTACCCATTACTTTTTAGAATTTTACATGTCACTTTAATATAAATTCCTAAAGGCAGGGAAGAATGAAATTCATATAATTTACAATAGCTGGCAAAGCTCAATATTAAAATTTTCTGAATTAGTGCATTTCCTTAGTATATTTTAATCTTTCAATATGCTTTTGTTGTGATTTAGATAATCCGGAAAACATTATCATTTGAAATTAATGACTTAAGTGAAAAGCAAGAAAAAGTATTTGTATTTCATGTGAAATGATAGTTTACCATATCATGCTTTTCTATGTCTGTATTTATATAGCAAAGTCTCTGAATCATTTGAAAAGCATTAGAGGGATTTAGTTTGTTTCTGAGTCTTTTGATCTCTACATATGGAAATCTCAACCCACTGGGGGAAAAATGTTTATTGCAGGGTGTTTCTGTGCTTGCAAAATACATATGTATATTTTTGCAATCTAAGAATCACTTTTATATGCATTGTTTGACTCATGTAAGGGAAAAAAGAGATTGTTTCATTTCCGTATGAAAATGAATGGAAATTGGAAAGAAAATATAAGCAAAAGCCTTAAGCAGACAGTGTTTACTAAGGACAGTTGTCTTGTGACCTTTACCTTGCAAACACAGACACATATATGTACGATGGATATAAAGTCTTCCTTGTTATCCTTAAATGTCTGTGATTTTTATATTGATTAAGATTTAATCATTTATAAAAGAGAGCTTTGTTTCTTAATTCTGTAAAGAAAAAAATCAAGAGTCATATTTATACCAAAAAGTAACTTCAGATTTTGGGATAAATTTCCATGCATTATTTCATATATTCTTAAACCCATTTCTGTCTTAACCTGTCACATACCTTCTGCTCAAGTGTGCAGGCAGACTCACTGGTGCATGTACCCACAGGTATGTCTGACCGTGGCTGTCCACCACTCTGAGACACAGAGAGAGCTGGGAGTTGCCACTGAGCTCCAGGGAAACCAGCACTGTTTGTTGTTAAGTAGATTAGGCATCTTTTGTATAACCACTAAAACATTCTGGTAGATTTGGGCTTTCAGATAAGACTTTCCATTCATTTCCATGTAGAATAGGAAACTATTTTTAATTCTGTATTTGAAGGGTGCATACATAAGTATTGCATGCTGTCCTTTCAGTTGAAATTCTTTGGTGATAATTTTCTGATGTATTTGAAATTATCTTGTCATTTCAAAACTCATTTTTTCTCACTTAAGACAATCACCATAGTGAAATTGAAATTATTTTCTATTAACATATATACTTTAATAAAACTGTTCAGTTTGAAACAGCTGATGCGATTTACTATGAACTTTTCTAATTTTTATACATATTTATTACCAAATAATTATCATATAAAATATGATCATTTATATAATGTTATAACCAGAATAACAATATTTTTATTTTCTTTAGATAACTATTATCTCAAAAATAGATGGTTTATATAGATACAGAGGCTATCTGTATCTGTGAATTTTATATCAGTGGGTTCAACCAAGTTCAGATCAAAATAATCCAAGAAAACTACATCAGAACATGTACAGAGCTTTTCTTGTCATTATTACTTAACAATACACTGTCACCATAACATTTACATTCTATTAGTATTATAAGTAATATAATAATTACTTAAAGTATGCAGGAGGATATGTGTTGCTTGCATGCACATAATAACCTGCTTTACCTTAGGGACTGAGCATTTACAAGTTTTGATATTTGAGGGGATTCTAGAGCCATTCTCCATGGATACCAGGAAATAACTTTACAACCACCGTGTTTTATGGATAAAATGTTGATTAATAGGTGGCATGTGATTAAAAGATGTTCTTGTGCATATAAATGCCTATTAATCTAATAATTTTTTTGAAAATTTTATAAAATTATATTCATATATACTTGTTTCAAATAGTAAAACAGTTATACTCAGAAAGAAAAGAAGCCTAATTAGATATGTATTTATTCATCAAGTATTGCTATCCTGGTAATTTAACGTATTTTGCACAAATAGCAACTACAACTACCTAGACATGTTTCCTTTATGGTCATGATTATCTCTATCAATTCAGTGAATGAACATTCAATGTTTTAGTAGGAAGGTTGTCCATTTCTAGGTGGACACCCCATCTTAGGCAAGTATCTTAGATTAAGAAATAAACTCATTTGCAGCTAATGCATTAAATTACCAGCAAATTAAAGGTTAGAGTAACATTCTAACTGAAATTGTTCTGTCCTCTGAGCTGAGACTTCATGATTCAAATTATGTGTCCTACAACTTTTGATACTCTCCAGCTGGCTTATGTAATTGTATTTTTAAAGGAATTTTAAGATTTAGTTAGAAAATCATTGTCATTTTCCTAACAGTCTTAAAGAGATTTACTTGAAAGCAAATTTGGCATCTTAGAACTTGGACTACATTTTCTGTGCCTAAAAAATATGTATGTGCCAAAGTATTGGAGGTGTGAACATTCAAGAGAGCACTTCATTTTAAATAGTTTTTAAGGAATTGACTATGAAAATTGTAAAACAGCTATTAAAAATATATTCAGCAAAAACAGTACCTCACTTTTTCCTAAGATTCGGCATATATTCTTCAAAAGGAGAAACTCAAATATAGCACTCTAGAATTAGCAAAGATTATTTTAACGAACGCTCCCTGTGTTAATATGAATTTATTTTTAGGTTACATTTAGATTACAAGTCTAAAAATGAATACTCAGATATTTGTATTTGTTCTTCTGTAACTATCACTCACTCAGAGGATGTAGTTTCATTTTATCATGTATTCTTTCCTCTGAATATAGTTATTAATTAAATTATTTAAGTACTCTGAGGATAAGGAAGTCTTTTAATACCATTTTAGATACCTTTTTGGGATTATTATTCATTATACATGGAATCATTTTAATATTTTTTAGAAACATTCTTATCTTTTCTGTGACTCAGAGATAGCCTACCCAGTGACTTTTGTGATCTGTGGTTTAATTTACATAGCAAGGTATTCCAAAGGACCCCCTCCAGTCTTTCTGTGAGCTTTCTGAACTTCTGGTCTTTCTGTGAACTTTTCACCATTTTTCATGGCTTTAGTGTGCTTTAATGACTGCAAAATATTAAATCATTACTAGAAAAAGTGGCTTATCATTGCCAGTAAAATCCATTACAAAAAACATTTCTGTATATTTACTCTAGAACATGGATATTGAATATATTGATTGTGCTTAAATTTCCATTCTTGGGATGACCCAATTATACAAGATAAAAACATCCGCTTCCAATAAATTTACAGCACATTTACAAGTACTAAGAGCAGTATGATTTTAAGGAGGTAATTCCAAGAACTTCCTTTATTTAAAATGTCAAATATCTTCTATTTCATATTCTTAATATGTTTTTTGACTCTATGATAATCATACATGTAGTAGTGATTGTATCAACAACTCTGTCATTGGTTTCAATGTCTTAGTCAGATGAAGGCCCATTAGAGTTCAAACTTTCTGTGTTTTACATAAGGTTATTGTATCGATCAGTTTTCCCATTGCCAGAGCAAATCACCTGACACACTGATGCCCAAAGAAGAGGTTTATTTCGCTCACAGTCTCAGAGTTTAATTCATAAACTGATTAAAAACTGACTCCAAAGCAAGATTATCATGGCAGAAAAAAATGTCAAAGCAAAGCCACTTGGTTCATTGTGGCAAGGAACAAAAGAACAAGGAATTAGCAGTACCAAGAAGGAATGAGGAACCACACACAGGGTTCCAGGTCATGTTCCTTGACCTACTAATACTCTGCGTGTCAATCAAGTTGGCAATTCATCTTTTTTTTTTTTTAATTTTATTTAAAAGGAAAAAGAAAAAACAAAACAAAGTGGTGTAAGGGTACAACTAATACAGAACTACAAAACAAAAAACAAACAAACAAAAAACAGTAAGAAATCACCAGTTACTAGATTACATATTATCATTTTAGAGATAGTTGCTCAAGTCACAGTATCAAAGCATACAAAGTGGACATTCAAACAGTGAGACTGCAAACAGTTGTGTTCAATGATCCAACCAAAAACATTAATATGGTCAGCTATTTAACACCCCTAAACGCACTTGCTGTTGTATCTTTTAGAACACTTTTTTCCCTTCTCCTTTTTACAACAAAATTTACACATTTTGGGTTTTATTACTCCTTAGTTCTTATTACTTTTTTGGGGGGGAGAGAATAAAGTCAAATATGGCAAAACAAAGCTATCAGTCAAAACCAAGGATAGACATAGCACATGATGTAAAAACAGAGTACAAGGTTATCAACAATGGTTACCATAATGTCTCTTGTTTCCTTAAAAAGAATTGTCTATCTCATTAGGTATTATAAAGTTGAACAAAACAGTAGAGAACAAGACCAATAAAACCCAAACCTTGTAAACAATAC